TTCACCAATAATCTTAAGAAGCAAGCAGCATAAAGCATGATTAATAGGAAAGGATGTAATCAACAATTACCTGAACAGAAAGATTTTGAACCAAATAGCGATGATCAAAGGGAAGGTGAACACTGGCTTGGATGGCAATGATATTCAGATTTGATTCCCCTGCTTTATCCAAAGTCGGCAAATAAATCCATAAGAGCAGATAAAGGAAGAGATGCTATCAGAACAATACTATTAAAAATCAAAAACTTAATGGGACAAAGAAAAGGAAAATACAGAATTACCATCATTTTTCATTCCAACCAACAGCTCGCTCTCCTCACCAGCTGCCACTACTGCATAGACAACGAAAAACATGATTTAAGAGAGGCAAACCATTAACAGCAACCTTGTCCAAAGCAAAATTAGGTAAAGATAATAAAGATGCATAGTAGACACTGAATTTAAACTCACCTTTAGATGGGTTTTTAGGGAAAACACAAATCGTTTCAATCCCAGGTGCAGGACTATAACTCTCACTGCTAAAATCTTGGACATCCTCACCAACAATTCCAAGATCCCCTCCTTCCTTGGTACCCTCAACCACTTCTGCTTCAGGGTCGGATTGAGCTCTAGCAACTAAAAAGAAAATATTAACACCAAAATGAACTTCACGAAATACAACAATAGCAATTAACAATGAACAACAACTACTAAGCCTCAATCCAAAACCAGCTATCGAGAACATACATTTTGCTCAAAATGACCGAACAAGTTAAAGCCTGAAAGGAAATTCTCATAATCAACCTAATCAACATCATAAAAAAGCTATGAGGCGTAAAAAGTAGCATAACATTGAGGATCTAACTAAATCCGAAGCATGAGGTCTTAGGTTTGAATCTTAGAGGAGGCAAAAAACACTAGGTGATTGCTTCCCATCTGTCTAATTCTTGGTGGGCAGAGTTACATAGTAACTGAGCTGGTGGGAGTAAGCAAGTACCCGGTGGAATAATCAAGGTGCATCCAAGTTGACCCGGACACCACCATTATAAAAAAAAAATATGAAGATCTAACTAAATCAAAAGAGTGGAGAATTCTATCAGGGAGCAGGCAATGCATGCATCATCATTTCTTTTCCAAGTCATTATACGAAACAAAACACAAGAAGCTATTATCAAGTCAACGACAATCACTTTGACTAACCAAAACTAGCAAAAACTTTCCACAATCAAAGTCCACAATCAATTCTAACGCTTATCATTTCCAAATGGAGAACATATCAAAGCATAATATTCAACGTTCCAGATTTACTATAGCAATCAAAATCATAATCCAACCCGATACCAGTTAAGCAATAACAAAATTGGAATAGTCAACATTAAATAGTCAAACCTCGATTAAATCGAAGAGAATCAAAATTACGAATATCAAAGAAACAGAGTACTCCATTAAATAAAGCTTAATACGTAAAATTGTTCATGCGATCGTGCATGAGCATGCGAATGCGATGAACTACTAAATTAACATGCAAAGATGAGGGATTTGACTGAAAGTTCTCAGGAAGTAAGATCTGGGATCTAAGAAGCAAACCTTGAAGAAAAGATGAAGAGAAGAGGAGAAGAGCCAGGACGAAGAGAACCCTAATTTTCATTTTGAGAGGAAGGCGGAGTACACGAACGAAGACCAAAGATGAGAGTAAAACAGAAAATCAAGCTCTGAGGTCACACAAAACAAACCCAGCTCAGAATTTTCTTTTTCTTTTTTAACAGATTTATTCATGTGAAAACAGATATGTTATGCCAACTCAATTTGGGCCCAAACTGAGAAATACTCACTTTGGGCTTTGCTACAGAACTCACAAGATTTGGTTATTAATGACTTCCCGCAAATTCGAAAATCTAGACAACTAGTGATATTTTACAACACAATCAATAAGCTTACTTATAGCCGGTTTTGGCCGAGCTTCTCCAATTCTAGAAGCATTTTTTTTTCAAAAAAAATATTTTTTTCAAAGTTCATGTGTTTGACCAAGCTTTTAAAAAGTATTTTTGAGGAGAATAGAAGCAGTTTTGGAGAAGCAGAAAATAGTAGTTTCTCTCCAGAAGCACTTTTGAGAAGAATACACTTTGAAGAATTTTTTAAAAGTTTGGTCAAAAACTCATTGCTGCTCAAAAGTGCTTTTTAAATTAATTAACCAAACACAAACTATTTCTCACCAAAACTACTTTTGAAAAAAACACTTTTGAGAAAAAACACTTATCAAAATAAGCTGATTTTTGCAGCTTGGCCAAACAGGCTATTAGCTTTGGTTGAAATTTTGCAAAGGGAATTTTTTTTAGAGGAATTTATCATAAGTGGAATAGATATGCGATGAGAAATGAAATAATTACACGAGCAATAAAAAAATTTAAATTGCTGAGAAAGGTATTGTCATTATCCCAATTTATGTGATATATTTTCCGTATTAGTATGTCAAAAAAAATATGATACCTTTTTATATTTAGAAATAATTAATTTTAGATTTCTCATTTATTGCCAAACAAATATCTATAACTTGTTTTAGATTATATGTTTCAAAAATCTTTCTTAAACCTTGTATCCAATAAAAGGTGTTGCACAAATGGGATAGACGGAGTAGATTTTATGGTTAGCTAATTCTCATGAATTAAAGAAAAATCTTGACGTTACTCATATTCCTAAAAAAAGTTATTTGGGTTAGTTTCTTACGGAGCAGTTATCTGTCCCTTTTTATCTCTTCCATCTTTCTTCCTTCCTTGCTCTTCTTGCCCGTCCTGAATCGACGGTGTTTGTTGTTGTTGTTGTTTCTTACGGAGCAGCGCACTAGAACAATATTTGTGGATTTCATTTTACCTACACTTAATTCTACAAAAGAATATTACACTTGGCAAGATATTGAAGACTATTATTTTTTAATGGGCCCGCCCCTCTACCCTTCTCCTCTTAAATAAGAGGCTTTGCTTTGCATGGTGTGGGGGACTTGAACCTGTGACCTAAGACACAAATCCACCACCCTTTGCCACTTGAGCTAGGCCCTGGGGCGATATTGAAGAGTACTATTAAACCACTAGAACTTGTGTAAGATGAGATTATAAACACATTAAGCTTGTTAAAATATCATGGTATAGCCAGTTTTCACACTGATCAATGAAAAATAGTCAGCGTTTATCAAGTCAATGAAAAATAGCCACTATTTTGCTGCAACAGGGACCGGTCCAGTATAATATACGGGAGTTCTGGTGCATTTGTGTACGAACTCCAGCATATTATGCTAGACCGGTATACTTTGCTAACTCCTGTAAAATTTGCGGGAGACTGGAGCACCAGTGCTCCAAACTCCAGTATATTATACTGGACAATTATACTTGCTAGAACTCCCGTAAAATTTGCGGGAGTTCCAGCATAATTATGCTTGAACTCCCGTAAAATTTGCGGGAGTTCAAGCATACTTATGCTGGAACCCCCGTAAAATTTGCGGGCGTATTTTTCCGGATTTTGAACAGTGTTTTCGCTCAGATTTAAAGTGGCTAAATTTCGATGACTTTTGAAACTTGGCTATTTTTCAACGACCAGTGGTAAATCTGGCTATTTTTGAATTTCTCCCCTTCTTACCCGGTATGGCCCAATTTCTATAATGTTGAAAAATTATTTTCACTGATTAGCCACATCGCCGCCCCCACTCTTTTTCTTTATGCGGAGGAAACTTTTCCATTCCCAAATCAGTTTTCTCTTTCAGATTTTCTCCCCACCCCTCTTTCTCTTTCATTTTCAATTCGCTCTTTCTCTTTCTCTCTCTCTCTCTGGCAAAATAATCGAGTTCTTCTTCAAATTTCCTTTCTATTAAGCTATTAATCCAAAACTCAAGTATGTAAAAGATTACCTTCAAGTGTAGCAGATCGAATAGACAAAGACTTTTTGTGGTTAAAAAGTGAAGGCGAAGATCGAAAGGAGAGTGAAGAAGACGACTGAGGCAAAGTGCGTGAAATTGTTGAATTATTCAGAGGACAACATAGAGAAGATGAACACCGAAAAGTTGCAGAGAACGCCATTCATCTGTATCTTCCTCTTCCACAAAATAACATTGTTGAACAATCCACACCGGATCTATCTTTTGTAGTCTTTTTCGTTTCTATTCAGTGCTCGCCGA